TTTATTTTAGAGTCACCGTATGTTTATACAAAATAATACTATTAATATAATGTGACTTTTCTAGAGAATCATTATACCGTACATAGTTATTTTAAACAGGGTTTCCACAGTATTACATAATTTCAGAATTCCCTGACTTTTAACTAACTCAGGATAAGTTTGTCGTTTTGGTAACTACATCCAAATTACCGCCATGTGGACAAAAATCACGCCATCTGGAGGAAAATCACATGGCTTTTTCAAATCACGCGAGAATGTGTACAAAACAACAAAAATGGCGCCGGCAACGCTTCTGGGTTGTTTTCATCGAATGTCGGTGATTTTAAAGTAATTTTGAGTGATAAATAATTTTTTTTGCGAAATTTGTACTCTCCTAACAATAAAAACTACTTGCCCCAGGAGATCGGGCGATGGTTAACATCGAGCCCTGAGCATTACTGTAATATATTTTTGCAGTTTGTATTTTAAATTATCCATTCTTGCTTATTTTACGAGCTGCCTTACCCAGTAAAGATATTTATCCTTTTAGGACATTTTTAAGTATGACAAACTCAGCCTTATACTGAATGTGAATTAATCCCTATTTCACATTGCAAACATATTTTACATAGTTTATTCTTTAGTGATAAAAGTATTCTATTATTGGAGACTGAAAGCTAATCTCATCATACCCATTTTACATACACTTGTAGCAGTCTTTTTGGAAAAGATGTTTCCTCCTCTAAAACCTGCTGGTTTGTAGGTTCAGGCGCTGATGGGAAACCTGTTCAGGCTGCGGTCCGAAGACAGCAACACCAAATGCCTGGTTGTGTCTCAGTTTACACGCTTCCTCACCATCCTTCAGACCCCACTCAGGTAAAACACAGAGCCCAGATAAATGGCCTCAGCACCAAAGCATGGCATTAATGCTCCCTCATCCACAGAGAACACGGCTTCAGTTTTGTACGTCTGGACGGCACAATGAGCCAGAAGAAGAGAACTCAGATCATCCAGGAGTTTCAGAGCTCTGCGGCAGACAGTCCTAAAGTCATGTTGCTGTCGCTCAAAGCCGGAGGGGTCGGGCTTAACCTGACTGCAGCCTCTCATGTTTTCCTCATGGATCCTGTAAGTGAACGTGCCTGAATTCAGATCTAGAAAACTAAATTCTTTTTAGTTCTCTTTAAACACTATCAATGGTCATAGGAATGCTGTGTCACCCATTTATTTAAAAAAAAAAGTCAGGGTGATTTCCACCAGGATATAAGACGCTTAACAAGTTTGATCAACTCCAGGAAATTGTCCAAACTGGGCTGTTTTTTTTTTGTTTGTTTTTTTTAATAAAGTGCTTTGTGTCTTTGAGGCCTGGAACCCTGCTACTGAAGAGCAGTGTATCGATCGTTGCCACCGTATAGGCCAGAAGAGAAACGTTGTCGTAACCAAGGTCAGCGTGGTGCTGAACAGGCGTTTGTGCTGCAACATCACTAGTTTTCCACTGTTGGCATAAATCTCTGCTCTAAAAGCTGAATGATTGACTTCATCTCAACCGCCTTGCTGAACTGCGGTATTTTTGAAGAGTTGACCTAATTTGTGTACATCTGCAGTTCATTGTGAAGGACTCGGTGGAGGAGAACATGGTGAAGATCCAAAAGAAGAAGCAAGACCTGGTGGAGAAGACGTTCGGCTTGGCCAACATGGACAGGAAAACCTCTCGGATCGACGACATCAGAGCTCTGTTGGAGATGTAGACGTTCAGCTGATTAAGGATATCTGTACTTATTTCATGTGCTGAACTGGTACGCTTTCCTTTTGTTTCAGTTTAAAGGGATTTAGTCTGAGATTTACAAAGAATTGCACTAATTTAAAATAAAAAGGCTTAAGTTTATACCTTGTTTTGCTTCGGTACCAAATTAATTGACCAAGTTTTTCCAACAAAACATACCTGCTGCAGTCCTATGGATTTATTCTGTTGCAATAAAGAAACATTCTCTGATTTGTTGCTTGACTATTTTAGGAAATTTACTTACCAACCTAAGCTAAATATCTGCCGCTAAACGCTACAGTGTGGTGTTTTTTTTATTCAAGGACCTGAATCAATAGGTTTAACCATAAGCTCATCTTTTCCTGATGTACTTAAAAGAAATATCAAAATTGTAAAAAAAAAAAAAAAAAAAAAAAAAAAAAAAAAAAAAAAAAAAAAAAAAAAAAAAAAAAAAAAAAAAAAAAAAAAAAAAAAAAAAAAAAAAAGGGGAACCATCTTCAGCACTGA